GAGAGAGAGAGAACAGCATTGAGAGTATTGAGTTGCAACGGAGAGTGCATTTAGAAACGATCGTTGGTTCGAGCGCGGCCATGCGATTACAGTTCGGTACGGGTTTGAAAAGATCTTTGTTCGAGCGTTGGGTCGCGAGGAAGTTCGATGGTGCGTGTGTCGAAGCGCGGAGCGAAGGAGCTCCGAGGATCCGAGCGCGAGGAGTTCCGAGGATCCGAGCGCGCGCGCGAAAGAGACGCGTGCGCGAAAGAGACGCGCACGCCTGCGTATGCGTGCGTGAGAGCGCGCGCTGCCGGAAGTCGGAACGTGCATCATAATGCCTCTGGGTGCGCCGCACCACCCTCCCGCCCGCCGTTCGCCCGCTCGTTCGCTCGCTCGCCGACTATTTCTCGCTTCACTGGCAAATAGAAACAATGTAATGATCCCCTCGGATTCGCGACTTGGCGCCGATCCGCTGAAGAAAATTCGCCCGCCGCTCGTTTTTTCGCGCCAAGGTCGATACGCTCGCTGTAATCGGCCAGAGAGTTATCAGACCCATTGTCCCATGGTTCACCTTGTGCTTTTCCGCCGCAGATGGACGAAAATCCGAGAGGAAATCGTTGTCCCTTCGCAATTCGATGCTGAGCGGAATCGGTCTTGAAGGTGCAGATCTCTACCGACCATGCCGACCAAAAACATGCGAGAGATAGCGACACCGGTTGAACGCTTATCCGTCGATATAAACATTTCCCGTTTTATTCATTGCGGATCAAAATACTTTCTCTAAGTTGATAACTTTGTTGACAGATTTGACGTTTGAATTGCTGACCGCGGAGCAAACAGGATATAACGGGATGTGGGATGGTAGACTGGAGCCTTTCACTTTCGGGCAACGCAAGTTTCTTTCGGCGATCTCGTGCGATGACGAGACCGGAAAGCTCTTCCTTATCGTGCCTTGTGTTTTCAGGGCAAATATGAATGCTGCGTGGCAATATTTACGTAAATTATGTAATCGAGAAGATACCAATTAAATTCTATGAAGATATTCGTTTGCAAATTATATAGTGTAATTTGCTTCCTGAATCACAAAATCCTCAATGACACTTGCATAAGAGTCTATTGTTGATTGAAGAACTCGCTCACGTGAAGATATGAAGAATCTACGAAGATAGACAAAATTATAAAATTAAACAAGTTGTCATATTAACATTTTATCACATATTGAAAAAAGGAAACATGAATGAAATGAAGGATAATACGGTACGAGTAATATTTATATCCTTACTGCTGGATCTCCTAGCATTTACAATGATACTGCCACTACTGCCAGCTCTATTGGACCATTACAAAGAAATAGAAAATGGACAGGGATTATACTCTACTATTTTGAGCCACATGAAAAGCGTACAAGTATTTTTTGATGCACCAGATAAGGTCAGCACAGTCCTTTACGGAGGTTAGTACTTGGATCTCTATCCAGAACAATAAATGTGTTATCTTTAAAGTGTTTAATAAATCACATATAAAATATAGATGTATATATAAGTAAGTCTTTTTATTTCACAGGTTTCCTCGGTTCTATGTATTCCTTCTTGCAGTTCCTGGGATCACCAATCATAGGAGCATTATCGGATATTTATGGACGAAAACCATTGATGCTACTTTGTTTGGCGGGCATTTCATTTTCTTATCTCTTGTGGGCTTTGTCCATGGATTTCAGTATTTTTATATTAGCTAGATTTGTAGGTGGAATCAGTAAAGGAAATATCAGTTTATCAATGGCTATTATCAGCGATGTTACTTCCCCAAAATCAAGAGGAAAGGCAATGGTAATGGATATAAATCATGTTTGAGTACTTCCACATGAAATGATGCTATTTAATTCTGAATCCTGTGTTTCTTTCTTGTTTCTACAGGCACTTGTGGGGATAGCCTTTTCTATTGGTTTTGTTGTGGGACCAATGATAGGGGCGTATTTTGCATGGATTTCTAGCGGTAACAGGGAAGGCACATGGTATGTGATACCGGCTCTATTTGCGCTCTCCCTTGCCTTAAGTGACTTATTTTTTGTTGCCTACTATCTGAAGGAGAGTCTATCGCTGAAACACAGAGCGGCTACTTTAGCAAAAGGATTATCCGGGGCGATTTCCTACATTAATCCCATAGATCTTTTCCAATTTAACGGAGTATTAAACTTGAGCCAGCAAGGTATTCTGACACAGACAATGTCGAAAGCAACTCCCTCTTTTATTTAATAAGCAATAATTATTATCAATAATTTATGTAATTAATGAATAAGTAATGAATTGCTTATTAGCAGTAAAAAAAATTGGATGAGTTTTAATGAAAACATCCAAATTTTATTTTTAGATCAACGAGATTTGAAGATATTAGGTCGAGCATATTTTATATACCTGTTTATATACAGCGGCTTGGAATTTACTTTGACATTTTTGACACATCATACATTCGGATTTACAAGTATGCAACAGGGATGGATGTTTCTCGGGATCGGACTGATCATGGCAATTCTACAGGGTGGCTGGATACGACACATTCTCCCGAATAAAACGAAAGCTACCAGTGAGCTGGTGAGAAATTCTCATTCGCATTTCTGCATTATTTGATAACGTTTTCTTTATTTAGTAATATCTTTTACATCATTCTAGGGTTTGTGGCTAATAATTCCCGCATTTATATGTATCGGTGTTGCTACCAATGTACAAGTTTTGTGTATCGGAATCTTTCTTTTCGCAGTTTGTGAGCATTATGTTTGTTTATTTATTATTCGATGTATAAAATACATTCGGATTTATTGTGAGAAATATAATACATGTCGCGTCCGATTGGTAACAATTGCTACGTATTATTTGTTGCAGCCACCGCTATGGTTGTTACTTGTATGATGACTTTGGTAACGCGTATCGGACCTGAACATCAAAAGGGTGTAATCACTGGTATATTCCGTTCTCTAGGTGCGCTAGCTCGCGCCTGTGGCCCCATCGTCGCGTCTTCAGGTAAGTCCAAGTAAATTAAATTCGCGCAAATGCTTCTGCTTCGTCAATAGCGTTTTCTTGAACGCGTACATTCCTACTTTTCAGCATTTTGGTGCCTCGGAAGTGCCACAACATATTTAACTGGGGCTCTACTGCTCACGCTACCGCCGTTGATTTTGCACAGCATGCATACCTTGTAATATGTGATACGATCAAGTATTACGCCATCCTTTACCTTTTTATATAATTTTAAAAATCCATTTTATAAGCAGTATTTTTATATATTTTCTTTATATACTACAATTTTATATTAATTTTTATACAGATAATGTTTAATATTAAGAAAATAATAATTTCCATTTGATGGATAGATTAATACGTTCATTAACTAGACATCACATTTGTTAACATTGTATTTTTATATTGTATTTCGCTTGTTACTTACACACATATAAGAAAGTTAAACTAGATATATATTTATATGTAACAAAGTTATTTGTTATATATTTTTTATTATATTTTATATGCTATATATTATATACAATATAAAATTTGTGATGTACACACACGCACACATATATAAAGATATATATGTTAAAAAAAAATATATACATTTACATTTGCGTGTTATAGATACATAAAATTTAATTACTCATAATTGCAAAAGCTGAAGATTACTCCATTATTTTAATAAATTATAGTGTTACACAGTTATATTCATTCATGTTATTATATATATGAAAAATGTATCTGTATTTTTCGAATATTCATCCGTGTTTTTTTTATTTAAATACTACACTTTCTATAACTTTCTTTCTTGAAAATCTAAATACTAAACTGGACGGATTTGCATAATCGCACATAAACATACCCTCACGGGGAGAAATCAATCGATACCGTGGTGATTTATCGATAAACGATGCTCTTGACGCGAGAGGCAACGCGTTTCCGATTTACTTATCTGCAATTATTTACAATTTCCGCGCGCCATAATATATCGTTTATTTGAACGCGCCCACGGAGGAGAAGAGCGAGTGGATGGAAGAAAAACAGCAGCGCGAGAGGAAAAACAGACTCGTCGGTGTAGTTTATCGATAAATCACCGCGCGTGCGATCCTTGGCTACGGTGCGCAAGTCCGGTGACGGTCACGTGATCCGTCCCACTCCCACGATCGCTCCCCACCCCCACCGCCGGCGCCGCGTTTACGGTAGGAAATTCCAAGAATTTCCACCCGTCGGTTTATTCCGTCGTCAGCCGCGTCGACCGACGGTGCCCGACGGCCTGTGATGTACGCGGTCGAGAGGACGGCCGAGGGAGCGGATTGGAGCGGAAGCGCGGTAGGAGAATTTCTTCGGGGTGTAACTTTCGGGAGAAGGGACAGCCCCAGGCAGAGAACGAGCGTTATTGATGGCAGCGTGGGTGTGAGTTCCGATCGCGCGCAATAATTACTTCTTTCCGCGATTATTGCGCGGTCAGTGCGGATTATAGTTATCGTGTCGCGCGTCAGCGATACGTTCAAGGTCACCGGCGTGAGACATAACACAAACGCGCGAGGAGGAGAGCTGCGAGCGGAGCTGTGCGGTAGCGGCGGCGACGGCGACGGCGACCGCGACGGCGACGGCGACCGCGACGGCGACGACGGCGGCGACCGCGACGGCAATTACGCCTATGTAATTGCGTCGTATAACGTCTTCGCCGAAAAAGTCTTTCGGTTGACAAGTAGAACGAGTAAAGAAACGAGGCATAGCAGGTGAGTTTCAATGAATTCCGAAGTGGTCTTCATTCGCTCTTTGCCCGCTGTTTGCTCCGCTCCATCCCCCTCCCCCCCTCTGCTCTTTCCCTGTCTCCCTCTCTTCTCTCCTTCCTCCCGTTCTCCATCTCTTCTTTTTTCCCCTCATGTTCTTATCTATTTACGCGTTTCGTTCGCGCGATTCACTTTTTTCTTTCTTTCTCTTCCTCTTATTTTCTCTTTCGGCAAGGGAATCTTCTTTTTTAACAGAGTGGAACTTCGAGAAGCATCATCGCCGTACTTTTTGGCATCTCGACGAACTCGCGCTGTCGCGCGCGAGAATCGCGCGCGACATTCGTTCCTCCGAAGTTGTGGCGCGGCGCGACGTGACGCGATGCGACGCGACGCGGCGACGTGTCTTTTCCTCGACGGCGGATCCACTCGGCCGCGATAAATTATCGTCGACGATAAAAACAAATCGGCTCGAGATCGCTACTTTTTTTTCATATAAATTATGGACGCAATTATTGCGATGCTGAGCTCACGGTTCGAAGGGCGGAAGCGGCTCTCGAGGCACTTCTCGAGATAAAGGTCGAATTACCTCCGAAGCTTCAAAGCGAAAACCGCGCGATCATTCACGTTACAGTGCAGGATGGTTTCCGGAACGTTTGACCAAACTTCGACAACGAGTCGCAGTCATCGACTGATCTGAGTAATGCCGGATTACATAATGTTTACGTATCACAATTTATTTGAACACATCGAGATTCTGAGATCTTCCACATGGCGGCAACGCGGGAAAAATTTTTGTGGAGGATCTATTTTTATTATTTATCTTATTTTTATTATTTTTTTTTTAATTGAGTAGTCATAATTCGCAAAGACACGGTGACAAAGTGCGGTCCGGTGTTTTCGAAATTTTTTTCAGACTGATTTCGATTAAAACTCCGATTAAACAGCGAAATTGCCTCCTCTAGGTAGCTCTTTGTTTCATCATCTCTTGTTTGACATTTGCATTTCTATACAAAGAAAAATCGATAATTTTATTTGCGTTAACATTAATATTATGACGATTAACTCGTTAAGTAATTTTATTATCAGACATATTTTTATTGTCTGACACATGAGATTAGATTAGAGAGGATAAATCGCACAGATAGACAATTTACTGTGAGCTATTTTGCCAATTGGTTTAATCAAATCAATTCAAGTTAGATCGATTAAAATTTTCAGCGATTTTTATCGAGATGGATTATTAATTCATATAATGTAATGAATAATGTAATGAATTTTTTTTTATACCAGAAAGATTACGATTATCGGACAAAATGGCGCTGTGGTTGAAAGCACAGCAGCTGTCGCAAGATTCGTTGCAAAAAGTGCGCGATATATATGGAGAACACTTCCCAATTGAAGTGAGACATTTCTTGTCATCATGGCTGGAAGAGAAGATGTGGTAAGCATAACATATAAACTTTAGAGAGAATCTTTTCTCACAAGAATTTTGACGAATAAGAATTTCTTGTTTATATGTATGCGCGTAAATGAAAAATTCATATTTACCAAAAAACACAATTGTGAATATTAAATCTATCATATTAATTATTTGTTTCAAAAATATTCATATTCTTTATTATTATATATACATTTTTTTCTTAAAAATTCTTTTTAAAATATATTGAATTTAATAAATTGAAATTATGCTATCTATCGTTAATATTTTAGGAACAACATAGACACGGATAATCCGCAGTTTGAGCACTATGTAAACAATTTTGTTGCATCCCTGATACACGAGTTGGAATTGAAAGCAAACAGTCTAAACACGGAAGATATGTTTGTAACAAAAATGAAATTGGTAGAGGCTGCTAATATGTTTCGAGTAAGTTGTGTAATGCCATATCGTTTTATGTATTTGTAATTTAATGAAATTAATGAAATTATGAAAATATTTTTCTCATATCTATTGCTCTTCTAGCAAAGATACAGTGAAAATCCAATGATACTATATAAAATAATCAGACATTGTTTGGGCACCGAAATGAAATTGGTGGCAGAAGCTGAACATTTAGGAGGTTTAATAACTGGTGACAGGGTCAGTTTGATGATAGGTGATACTGTTACGGAAATAGCTCATCAGGTTGATATATTGCGGCGAAAAACATATGAGACCGGGGAGGACTTGCGAAAGATTGAACAGGAACAAGAGGCTTTTGCTCTTAGTTATCACGAGTGTACAAAGCTAAATGCTCACTTACAACATGTCAGTATGCAAGTACAGAATCAACAAAATATGGAGTTAGAAAAAAAAATTAGAAGGTAAAATGATTTTTTGTTATGACAATATATAATATCATGATAATATATTTAAGACATACTTTAAAAAAAATTTTTTTTATGATGTATATTACAATCTATTAATTTGTGAAAAGCATAAGTATTTATCATAGGCAAAAGGAACAGCAGGATCTGTTACTGAGTCAAAAAGTAAACGGTGTAGTTCGCTTACGTTTAATGCTCATGGAGAAACTGGAGGATATTATTAAGAAATTGAATACTTTGCAATCAAGAATTCTTGATGACGAACTTATAAGGTAACACGTCGATATGTATTTAAAGACAGTAAAATGTAAAGCTCTTTTCCTCTTATTGAATCATGTTAATGATCTTAATATGTTATTTAGATGGAAGAGAGATCAACAGTTAGCTGGCAATGGCGCAAATTTTGCATCCAACAATTTGGACTCCATTCAGGAATGGTGCGAGAGTCTTGCCGAGTTGATCTGGCAAACTCGGCAACAAATTAAGGAAGCTGAACGTTTAAAGCAAAAATTCCAATGCGAACCACCAGGCATCCGAGATACTCTTCCGAGTTTGAACACTCAGATTACACAATTTCTCAGTTCACTTGTTACGAGCACCTTCATTATTGAGAAACAACCGCCGCAAGTCATGAAGACTAACACTCGTTTTACAAGTACGGTTCGTCTTCTTGTCGGGGGCAAATTGAACGTTCATATGACACCGCCGCAAGTAAAAGTAAGCATAATTAGCGAGACACAAGCAAACGCCTTGTTAAAGAGCGAGAAAATGGCCAAGTGCGGCGAGGTCAGTGGCGAAATTTTAAATAACACAGGCACAATGGAATATCATCAGGTGTGCAAGATTTTGATATTTATTTTACATTAAATGTGGTAATAAATATTTTGAGAAATGTCATTCTTAATCGATTTAAAAATATTATAGGCTACAAGGCAACTTTCGGTAAGTTTCCGCAATATGCAGTTGAAGAAGATTAAGCGTACGGAGAAGAAGGGTACAGAATCTGTGATGGACGAGAAATTTTCGTTGCTGTTCCAATCGCAATTCTGTGTTGGTGGAGGCGAGTTAGTGTTCCAAGTTTGGACTCTGAGCTTGCCTGTTGTCGTGATAGTACATGGTAATCAAGAGCCACATGCATGGGCCACAGTTACTTGGGATAACGCGTTTGCAGAACCCGGTAGGCAACCGTTTCAAGTGCCGGAGAAAGTGCCATGGTGCCAAGTAGCGGAAGCGTTAAATATGAAATTTCGCTCCGCGACCGGTCATCCTTTGACCGAAGACAATCTTCGATTTCTTGCGGAGAAAGCATTCCGAAGCAATGGCAATACAGTCGGTCAAGATTACTCGAACCTGCCGCTAAGCTGGGCGCAGTTTTGCAAAGAACCGTTACCTGAAAGAAACTTCACCTTTTGGGAATGGTTTTATGCTGTTATGAAGTTGACTAGGGAACATCTTAGGGGTCCATGGATCGATCGTCACATCCTTGGATTTATTCGCAAGAAACAAGCGGAAGAAATGTTGGCGAATTGTGCGGTTGGCACTTTTTTGATGCGTTATTCCGACTCAGAACTCGGCGGTATTACTATCGCCTGGGTTGGAGGTAAAATTAATTTTTAACAAAATATGCGTTCGTTATTACATTGTATTACGATATTACATTTGGATAAGTTTTACATGATGGGATATTCTATTATTAACTGATATCTTTATGCTTCTAGATCAAGCGACAGCAGAACACGTCTTCATGCTGCAACCATTTACTAGCAAAGATTTTGCTATTCGAAGCTTGGCTGATCGTCTTGCCGATATGCAACATTTGCAATATCTTTATCCAGATATTAGTAAAGATACTGCTTTCGGCAAATATTATACCCCATTTACTGGTGAGCGTACTTTGTAATGGATGTCGATTTTGCTATTTTGTGGCGATCAATTGCAATTGATCAATTGCAAAAATTAATTTCTATAGATAATCAAAATCAAACATCGAATGGGTACGTCAAGCCATATTTAGTAACACACGTGCCAGGTTGGGCTCTGCCTAACATTGGTGGTCAAACACCATCACATTCGTCCGTAACAGGTATAAGTAACAGCGGACAGAGCGGCCCGGGTGGAAGTTACCCCGCCACACCACAGACCGTATTTCCACCACATAGTCCACCAGATCCGTCTACTCGGGACACACCGTCTGTAGCATCAAGGTCAGTCTCTTGGATGTAATCGGATGAGAGATTTTTATATTTCTATTAAATTAATCACGAAATATCTGAATATCGATATGTCTCTATATTTGGTACTTTGTAATTTTAAACAAAAACGAATCTCAGATACACGATATTCAAAATTAAGTAAAAGATATGCAATACATTTTTTTTTCGATCGATAGCGCAACTTTCGAAGAGAGTTTTTCTTTGAAATTTGCAGATAAACACAATGGTTTCAATATATCTTTAGAACAAAATTGTTTCATATTTATCTTTCTGTTTCTCTTTTTATATTATTTAATTTAAATACCATCTACTCATCGGTTGTGGTACAATTTATAGAATATTCTGTCGATGTCGATGTCAATCATGTCACTCGTATTTTATGGATAATAATTGAAGATGAAAATTTTTCTGCTGTAATCATAACAAATGGGAATATTAACAAATGGGAATAGAGAATCTATTCTCCTTGATGAAACGGAAGACTTTATTTCTCATTATTTTATATTTTAGAAAGAAATAATAGAGAACGAAAAAGAAATCATATCTAAATAAAATACCAAAGTACCATTTCATATTCTACCGTTTAAAAAAAAATATAAAAATCGAAGACAATAATTTATGTGAGCTTAATGCGAATGAAAACAAGTATTACACATTCCCTGCACTTAACTCACATTTTACGTATCTTCTGAATTTTTTATTTTTATAATTACGGTCAGTATTTTTTTTTACAAACGTCTTTTGACACAAGGAATTTTGTAGAAAAAATGTAACGTAACTACGCGATTGTACTTTTTGTAAACGTTTTTACAAAATAAAGTACGTGTAATATTACAATTAATATAGATGAGCGAGAAAAAAGAAAAAAAATAAAAAGTATTCACTTAATGTACGATAAGGCACGTATTATTCAACGAATTTTGTAATGACTGATACTGTGCATTGGACGATATTGGGCTATATTGCAGTTTAAAGTAAGCAACTGTGACGTGAATGCATGACAAATAATCATTATCTCTATTGAGACATTCGAAATATAAGTGTACATGTATGACTAATAATGTCATAAAGTAAGGATCGTGTTAAATCGTCATATAATGTTAATATGATTTTCTTTTTCTTTTTTTTAATATTTTTTGATTACTTTTCTATTATATCTTTTTCCATATATATTAATCGTGTGTATCCCAGTATTTTCGTCCAATACTAAGGCTTTATTCATATTATAAGTATGATAACGTCCCAATGCATTTCAATCATTCACTCAACTATTATTCGAGAAAACACGCACACATATACACAAACAAGTAGATAGTGATTTTAAAATTTTTGATATAACTCCGTTCTACAATGAAACAAATATTCTTTATGCTAATCATTGTACTGTTTTTTATGAATTCATATGATCTAAAATCTTCTTAAAATATCCTATTAGATCTTAAAATATCCTATTAATTGGAATTTGTATTTGGAAATTTATATATTAAATTTAGCTGCAGTTTGCTA